TGTGGAGGGAATAGTAGGTAAATTTGGGGTGCCAGGGATAAATGAAAATGGGGAGCCTTTAATTGAACTATATGTAGAAAGAGGTTTGGTAATAAGTAATACATATTTTATGAAAAAGAGGATAAATAAATATACAAGGCACGATGTAGCACGTAATGAAAGTAGTTTGTTAAATTATGTATTGGTGGATAAAAGGTTGATGGGTAGGCTCCAGGATGTACATGTTTATAAAGGGGCAACTGATACATCGGATCATTATCTAGTTGTAGCTACAGTTAGAGTAAGATGTAGATGGGATAAGAGGAAAATGGCAACAACAAGAGGGAGGTGAAAGTGTATAAACGAAGGGAGGAGGAAGTTCGGGTGAAATATAAGCAACATTGGCAGAAAGGTGGGCTGGTGCAGGTATGAGTAGTGGGGGGGTTGAAGAGGGTTGGAATAGTTTTAAAAATGCAGTATTGGAATGTGGGGCAGATGCTTGTAGTTATAGGAGGGTGAGTGCAGGAGGAAAGAGGAGTGATTGGTGGAATGATGAAGTAAAGGGTGTGATAAAAGAGAAAAAGTTTGCTTATGAGAGGTATTTACAAAGAAGTGTTATAAGAAGAGTAGAGTATTGGAGAGTAAAAGAAAGGTGAAGAGAGTGGTGAGAGAGTGCAAAAGGAGAGCGGATGATAGAGTGGGAGAGGTACTGTCAAGGAATTTTAATGAAAATAAGAAAAAATTTTGGAGTGAGTTAAACAAGTTAAGAAAGCCTAGGGAACAAATGGATTTATCAGTTAAAAACAGAGAAGGGGAGTTAGTAGATGGGGAGATGGAGGTTTTGGGTAGATGGCGAGAATATTTTGAGGAACTTTTAAATGTCGACGAAGAAAGGGAGGCGGTAATTTCATGCACTGGTTAGGGAGGTATATCATCTTTTAGGAGTGAAGAAGAGCAGGATGTGAGTGTGGGGGAGGTGTGTGAGGCATTACGTAGAATGAAAGGGGGTAAAGCAGCTGGAACTGACGGGATCATGAAAGAAATGTTAAAAGCAGGGGGGGACATAGTGTTGGAATGGTTGGTATTTTTGTTTAATAAATGTATGAAAGAGGGGAAGGTACCTAGGGATTGGCGGAGAGTGTGTATAGTCCCTTTATATAAAGGGAAGGGGGACAAAAGAGATTGTAAAAATTATAGAGGAATAAGTTTACTGAGTATACCAGGAAAAGTGTACTGTAGGGTTATTACTGAAAGAATAAGAGGTAAGACAGAATGTAGAATTGTGGATGAGCAAGGAGGTTGTAGGGTGGGTAGGGGATGTGTAGATCAAGTGTTTACATTGAAGCATATATGTGAGCAGTATTTAGATAAAGGTAGGGAAGTTTTTATTGCATTTATGGATTTAGAAAAGGCATATGATAAAGTGGATAGAGGAGCAATGTGGCATATGTTGCAAGTGTATGGAATAGGTGGTAAGTTACTAAATGCTGTAAAGAGTTTTTATGAGGATAGTGAGGCTCAGGTTAGGGTGTGTAGAAGAGAGGGAGACTACTTTCCGGTAAAAGTAGGTCTTAGACAGGGATGTGTAATGTCACCATGGTTGCTTAATATATTTATAGATGGGTTGTAAAAGAAGTAAATGCTAGGGTGTTGGGGAGAGGGGTGGGATTAAATTATGGGGAATTAAATACAAAATGGGAAGTGACACAGTTACTTTTTGCTGATGATACTGTGCTTATGGGAGATTCTAAAGAAAAATTGCAAAGGTTAGTGGACGAATTTGGGAATGTGTGTAAAGGTAGAAAGTTGAAAGTGAACATAGAAAAGAGTAAGGTGATGAGGGTATCAAATGATTTAGATAAGGAAAAATTGGATATCAAATTGGGGAGGAGGAGTATGGAAGAAGTGAATGTTTTCAGATATTTGGGAGTTGACGTGTCAGCGGATGGATTTATGAAGGATGAGGTTAATCATAGAATTGATGAAGGTAAAAAGGTGAGTGGTGCATTGAGGTATATGTGGAGGCAAAAAATGTTATCTATGGAGGCAAAGAAGGGAATGTATGAAAGTATAGTAGTACCAACACTCTCATATGGGTGTGAAGCTTGGGTTGTAAATGCTGCAGCGAGGAGGCGGTTGGAGGCAGTGGAGATGTCCTGTCTAAGGGCAATGTGTGGTGTAAATATTATGCAGAAAGTTCGGAGTGTGGAAATTAGGAGAAGGTGTGGAGTTAATAAAAGTATTAGTCAGAGGGCTGAAGAAGGTTTGTTGAGGTGGTTTGGTCATTTAGAGAGAATGTATCAAAGCAGAATGACATGGAGAGCGTATAAATCTGTAGGGGAAGGAAGGCGGGGTAGGGGTCGTCCTCGAAAAGGTTGGAGGGAGGGGGTAAAGGAGGTGTTGTGGGCGAGGGGTTTGGACTTCCAGCAAGTGTGCGTGAGCGTGTTAGATAGGAGTGAATGGAGACAAATGGTATTTGAGACCTGACGATCTGTTGGAGTGTGAGCAGGGTAATATTTAGTGAAGGGATTCAGGGAAACCGGTTATTTTATATAACCGGACTTGAGTCCTGGAAATGGGAAGTACAATGCCTGCACTCTAAAGGAGGGGTTTGGGATATTGGCAGTTTGGAGAGATATATTGTGTATTTTTATACGTATGTTCTTCTGAACTGTTGTATTCTGGGCACCTCTGCAAAAACAGTGATTATGTGTGAGTGAGGTGAAAGCGTTGAATGATGATGAAAGTATTTTCTTTTTGGGGATTTTCTTTCTCTTTGGGTCACCCTGCCTCGGTGGGAGACGGCCGACTTGTTGAAAAAAAAAAAAAACTCTAGTTTTACATACAGACTAGGGCATACGAAAACCGAGGTTCCACTGTATGTTTGCAGGTAATTAAGGTGTGATGGAGATGTTTATTTATTTGTTTATTTATTTATTTATTAATTTGAACATGATACAGAGAAGTACAAGGAATACAATTTTTAAAGTGCAGCATGCCAAAGCAATGCGAATGAATGAGAAGAAAATGAGAGCTTGTGCAATAAATAGTGCAGATTGTGACGTGCCAAAAAAAAAATACAAAGAGGATGATACAGTTAAATATTACAGAAAAGTTAATGAATATATAACTTGAGGAGAAAACAATGAAAGGGGCCCAGTTTAGTGCTCAGATAATAAGTTGCAAAGTTTTAGTATGAAAATATGTGAGAAGGAAGAGCCCTTAGAACTGTGTATGTTTAATACTGGATGGTTTGAAAACTTTCAAATTCTCACTCAGCTTCATAACATAAACTTCAGCTATGAGAGTGTGTTGTATGATCACATAGCGTCAGTGTTACCCTGCTGACTTTGTGAAAATTGTTTCCGAGAACAGTTACAGTTTTGATCAAGTATTTAATGCTAGTGAGATAGGGCTATGTTGGAACTGTGTACCATCAAGAACCTTAAATTAGCAAGAAAATTTTGCACCAGGTTTCAAGGCAGAATTGCTGTAGGTGCTTAATTTCCAGGAAGGAGAACCTGGGGATAAATGGTTATTAATGCAAGGGTTATGTAAGCAGTTCTATGTTATTGATAAAGTTACTAACGTTTTTCATTGAAAAGAACGCTGACACTCAAAAACATTGTTCTGAAGAGAGGTTCAGAGCAGCTGATGATGGTGTAATGTTGGCTCTAAGTACCGAGGTGTAGAACATTTGAGATGTATTACAGAATACGTGAGCACTCCAGGACAACCATCAGCTACTGACATCATCATTCACAATGACGCAAAATACACAGCTAGCCACTTAAGCCCAGCAGGGCCACATTAACCCTCAACACACTTCCATGTCAACAAGCATTTAACAACTAAAATGTAAAGTAAGATGTATCAGAATTAGCTTTTGAGCATCCCAGAACTTATCAGTGTGTATTTATTTTTGGTTTTGTGTTTTCTTAATTTTAAGTCCTACTGAAAAGCCGTAGTTTTAGCATGCCCAAAATGTTCTGCATAATCACTAATTTTCCAAATATGTAGTGTACTCTTTTTTTTTTTTTTTTGGTAACTGTTCGTATATATAACTATTGTTAACTCTTTTAGGAAATGAAATTCATTTTCAAGATAATCTGTACCAGTATTAGATTTTACCTAGTACAATATTAAAAAAAAAAAGTTGTGGCAAATTTCGAAGTGTGGAATGTAGCCCAGTTTTTCTTACGTGTTCCTTACTTCTCATTGTAAAAATCCTAACTTGCAGATAGGTTTTATGGCTAATTAATTGGCACTTCTCATTGCAAAAATCCTAGTCCGCAGATAAGTTTTAAAGCTAATTAATTGGCACTGAAGTGACAGTATTAAAATTGTGTTAAGCAAAGTTTACTTGTATCAGCCAGACAGAGCCACATTTACATATTCCTCTAAAGTGTAGAAATATGTGCATCATGTTTCTGAATTTTATATTTATGTAGGTAAGTTTGTTTTAATATGATCCTTTGGGAAAGATGCCTTGATAGGGGAATCAGATCACTTCAAAAAAATTTTTTTTTTACATATACGTACACAATGCAAATATTTTCAAAAACTCATAGTACGTGTAACATTTTAGGGAGACTTAAACTAGGAATAAAACCACTTACTTAGATGTGAAGTTCATGTGATAAAAGTTAGAGAGTTACCCTTCCCTTCCTCAAATCAAACTTGATTTCCCCCCTACCTTCCCATTCCCCAGGTACTGTACAACTCCTTTAGGCTTAGCACTTCCCCGTAATTATAATACTAATTACATGTATGTTCTTCATCTGTGTACTAACTCTTGGTTTCCTTGCAAATTTAGAATTGGATAACTAATTCTTTTCAAATTTTTTTATATTGATGCAGTTTTTAACCCAAAATGAAGTTATGTTTAACCTCAATGTAAATTTATATTTTTTAGTATATAAAATTTTCTGTAAACATCTTACAACAGATCTCTGACACACTCATCACCAAGTAAGAGAAATTATATTCAAAACTTACTTTTTTGTTTCCCCCAAATGCAGTTTACCAGAGTGGAGAGCCACCTAGAAGGCCTGTCATCACGTCTACCAAATTTGAAGGAAAGAGTAGAGAGATTCCTAGCTACATCAAGGAACTTAGCTCAGTCACGGCACCTCACATCTCTAACGCTCACAAAACACACACAGTTGCTAGAGGTGAGAGACAAGATAGGCTGAATGCACTCTTACAGGACTGAAACTGATTGATTATAACACTGAAACAAGTTAAGCTATAGTAATTATCATGCACTCTTTCAAGACTGAAACTGATTAATTATAACAGTTAAACAAGTTAAGCTATAATTATCATTTATTGTTTTTGTACATTATATTTCTTTATGAATTAGACACATGTGCAACGCTTGGGTATCTTTAATGAAGAAACGTTTTCCCACACAGTGGCTTCATCAGTCCATACAAAGGAGAATGGTGAAGAACAGGAGGAGTTTGAGGTAATCAGTTCTCAGCCTTGAGTCGATGTAATCAGTCAATCAGTCCATCAATCTTGAAAAGAATGCAGCATATATGGGAAGAAGTTGATAAATTAGACACATGGATCTTAATACAGGGAATTCTTCACTTGCCTAACCTTTAGGCATGACCTACTTCCACATTTGGATTTGTCAAATGTGATAACACCTATGACTGCTGCACCTTATCTGCCTACAGTATATAAGCCACGTCTTTGCATATATGCTGTATTCCTTTCAAGATTAATGGACTGATGAAGCCACTGTGTGGCAAAACTTTTCCTCATTAAAGATACCCAAGTGCTGCACATGTGTCTAACTTATCAACTTGTCAGTTCTCTGAACCATTTGTCTACATTATATTTCTTATGTCCTGGTTGGTCTTTCATCAGATCCTGGAGTTGCCACAGTTGATGGACACTTGTGTAAGAAATGGTTATTATGAAGAAGCCTTAGAAATTTTGGCCTATGTTCGAAGACTTGAGAAAAAACACACAGACATCCCTATTACTGCTGTAAGTATATGCTTTCATTAACAAGATTTAACAGGAGGGCCCCACTCGTACAGCAGGTTAGGGTCCGGGCTACCGCTGTAAAATGAAACAGCCTTTTTTCACCTTGAAATGGACATAAAAACCTGGTAACATGTTTACACTATCATAAATTAAGTGAGCAATATAGCTAGACCTCAAAAATGCATATACAGTACACACATTACTTAACCCTTTGAGGGTCAGTCACGTACATGTACGTCATAACAGCAGGGGCTGGTCACGTACTTATACACGTAAATTCTAGTGTCTTCAAATCAAGTGGGAGAAAGCTGGTAGGCCTATAAAATGAGAGAATGGGTCTGCGGTCAGTGTGCGCAGTACAAAAAAAATTGTGGAGCCAGTGGTGCATTGTGGGAATGCCATTTCAGTACGCCTTGTTTACGATGCCTCACGGTAAGAAACGCCTCACTCCTCTGCAAATTGGGACTCTCTTTGTTCCCAAGTGACAGTTCAAACACAGTTGGAAGTGTCAGTGAAGAAGAATTTTAGGGTTTTGAGGAGTTTGTGACTGAAAATAATGAACATAATAGTGGTAATAGTGATGAAAACCCAGATGACCCTCAACCTTCCACCTCTGGTGCTGGGCCGTCTTGTTCACGTCCAGTTGTACCAGAATGAAAGAGGAAACTCGTATTTTCCTGTGTCCAGGACTCAGATGTGAGCAGTGCTCATGGTAGTGATAGTGAATTTGATCTCCAAGCTTTTGAAAACAGTTCCAGTAGTGAAAGTGAATTGGAATATTCTCCAGTGAAGCGTCAGTATGTACGATGCTACTTGTGCTCTGGTAGTGTGGCATATGCAGTTCCAAAGGTAGGGAGTACATCTCGGAGTACACATCCCATGGCCGTACAACAGGAACAGATAGTGAAAATGAAGATGACATTGTTACAATGGGGATGAATAATGTGCATGTGTCATCAGATGGTAGTAGTGCCATGCACCATGAGGCACCAGCAGCAGCCCATGCTGGTACCCATGCTTTGTTGTAGCTGAGTCAGCTCAGCTACAACAAAGCTCACCCTCACTCACCCACCCACCACAACAACCTCCAAAACCACTGCCTCCACAACCACAACCAACTGTCAGTATCCAGTATCCACCAGCAGACCACACCTGGGATTGGCAGGAAGCTGCCAATTTTGTTCCCAATCCCCATCAGTTTAATGAAAGTCGAAGTAGAATACGGCCATCTTGTACACTTGGGAATAATGCCACTGAACTGGAATGTTTTGAGTTATTCTTTGACGAACCCCTGATGGAAATTATTGTCAGGGAAAGCAACACATGCTACGAGTACACCACAGCAAACAATTCTTTCACCAAGATCACACCTACACCAGTGGAAAGAGACAACTGTGGTTGAGATGTATCTTTTCTTTGCTACAATAATGTTTATGCCTTATGTGTATAAGCACAGTGTCAAATCATACTGGTCGACAGACTGCCTGATTGCAACCCCAGCTTACAATGATATAATACCAGTGAGTCAGTTTGTGCTACTATTACGTATGCTACATTTCTCAGACAAAACCAGGCCTGACAGAAAAGAGGTTATATAAGATTAGGAATGCGTTTATGTATCTGAAACAGAAATTCAGTATGTATTTTTATCCCTTCAGGAAGCTTGTTATTGGTGAGTCTTTGATTTTGTTCAAAGGTAGACTGTCGTTCAGGCAGTATATACCAAGCAAGAGGAAACACTTTAGTATAAAGTTGTTTGTACTTTGTGATTGCTACAGTGGTCTTGTATTGGATATTATTGTGTACTCTGGAAGTAATACATTGCAAGATACAAGGAAGTTATTGGGTATCTCTGGTGATGTGGTTAGAACAATGATGGAACCATATCTTGGTTAGGGGCATATATTATGTACGTACTGATAACTGGTACTCAGTGATTTTTTGCAAGTGAACATGACAGATGTGTGTGATATAGTGCATGCAAATCGTAAGCATATGCCCAGGTTCAACACAGGCAGGATGAGCAGGAGCATTGTCCATTAACAAGAGGCACTGGAGTGGCAATTTATTATCCGGGAGGCATTTCTTCACACTCGGGCCAAACACTTCATTGAACCATTCCAGGAAAATTTCCCGGGTGACCCATGCCCTACTGTTTGCCTTCCACATCACACACAATTTACTCTTCACAACACTGTTTTTCTTGAACACATTGGGATTTTCAGAGTGATACACCAGTAAAGGCTTCACTTTGAAATCCCCACTAGCATTACCACACAGCAAGAGAGTAAGCCTGACTTTCATAGACTTGTGTCCTGGGAGTGCCTTTTCCTCCTGTGTGATGTAGGTCCTCTTTGGCATTTTCTTCCAAAAGAGGCCTGTTTCATTACAATTGAACACTTGTTGGGGTTGGAATTTTTCAGACTCTACATAACATTTGAATTCACTTACAAATTTTTCAGCCGCATATTTGTCTGAACTGGCACCCTCACCGTGCCTTACGACACTGTGTATGCCATTTCGCTTCTTAAATTTTTCGAACCAGCCTTTGCTGGCCTTGAATTCACCTTCTTCACCACTTGTTTCAGGCAGTTTCTTTATGAGATCCTCATGCAACTGCCTTGCTTTTTCGTAAATAATGGACTGCACTCTGTTCCACACCAACAACAACTTCTCCACTTCTTCAGTTGTTTGGGATCTCTGTTTGGTTATTGCATTCACCCCTTTTGCAACATCAGCTTCCTTGATTTCTTTTCTCTTTGCCACAATGGAGCTGATTGTTGATGGTGACTTCCCGTATATCCTGCCGAGTTCAGCAATGCTTATGCCACTTTCATATTTTCTTAGGATTTCTTTTTTCAGTTTTACAGTATTCTCCAGTTTCTTTACCAAAGCACTGGCACTAGGAGCTTTCTTTGGGGCCATGGTTGCTTATTTAGCAGTCACACACAATAAACAAGTGGCAAAAACAATGGATTATTATGAAATGTTTTGTATGACCTGGCAGGATATGTTCACTCACCGAGAAACAACACTACACTGGCTGAGAATGTGTGTGGGAGGCGGCTTTGTCTGCGCGCTGGGCACTGGACAGGTTCCGTACGGTCAATGAAAACAGAGGTAATCGACGAAAACAGAAGCCAAAAATCAATGAAAAAAGTCGGCCAAAACTGAAATCAGCGATAATGGAGATAGACAAAAATTGAGGGTCCACTGTACAATATACAGTGGACCCCCAGTTATCACCCATAATCTGCTCCAGAAGGTCGGCCGATAACCGAAATGGCCGAAAACCAAATTAATATTTCCCATAAGATTTCATGGAAATACAATTAATCTATTCCAGGCAAAAATATTCACAAAAAAAATAATTTTTTTAACAATTATGTAAGTATTACATACTTTTATTGAAGGCTAATGCTGGCTTCTGGAAGATAGGGAAGAGGAAAGAGGGAGGAGTTAGTGTTTGGAAGGGGAATCCCCCTCCATAAAGACTTTAGGTAGCAAAGCCTTCTCTGGGGTTACTTCCCTTCTCTGTCTTTTAATGCCACTAGGACCAGCTTGAGAGTCACTGGACCCCTGTCTCACACAATAACTGTCCAGAGTGCTCTGTTTCTGGTGTCTCTTTAAGATTTCCCTGAAGTGGGACAGGGTTTTGCCACTAAACATGTTGCAGATATGGCTTGTTTCAGCCTTGTCAGGGTGGCGTTTCTTTATAAAAGCTTGCACCCTAGTCCACATTGCACACATCTCTCTAATCCTGAAGAAGGCACCTCCTTCACTCCCTCTTCCTCCTCCTCTGAAGCAAGTTCCTCAGCTGCAGTCTGTTGCTGTTCAAGTTGAAGATCTTCAGTGGTTAGCTCTTCCCTGTGGTCCTCCACCAACTCTTCCACATCCTCACCACTCACCTCCAACCCCAGGGACTTCCCCAATGCCAGAATAGAGTCCACAGGGTTGGCAGGGTCAGCCTCAAACCCTTCAAAATCCCTCTCTTGGACACAATCTGGCCACAGTTTTCTCCAAGCAGAGTTCAAAGTCCTGGAAGTCACTCCTTCCCAAGCCTTACCTATAAGGCTTATGCAATGGAGGATAGTGAAGTGATTCCTCCAGAACTCTCTGTCCGAGGTCACTTCAAAGCACTTTTGAAACACTGCTATTGTGTAGTTTTTTGAAGCTAGAGATGACCTGCTGGTCCATGGGCTGGAGGAGAGAAGTAGTTTTAGGAGGCAAGAACTTCACTGAGATGAAACTGAAGTCCCTAAACACTTGGTCTTGCAAGTCTGGAGGATGTGCAGGAGCATTTTCCAGTAACTTGAGTGACAATTTCTTTTCCAGGAGGTATTGTTTCACGCTTGCGCCAAACACATCATTAACCCACTCTTTGAAAATTTGCCTTGTGACCCATGCCTGTCTGTGAAGTGTGACCAAAGTGTAAGTTGGAGTAGCAAGATATCCCTGTTATCTAGCATGTTTATGAGACAGAAAAAGACACCAGCAATCTTACCATCATGCAAAACAGTTACAGGTTTCTGTTTCACAGTCATCTGGCAGGACGGTAGTACTTCCCTGGGTGGTTGCTGTCTACCAACCTACCAACCAAAATTAGTGCCGAATAACTGAAGGAACCGAATAACTGATTGCCGGATTTGTGATGGCGGACCTGTAGTAATAATAACAGTAAGGAGAAACTTCAAAAGGCTGGCAGTAGTTGGCACCACCATCAGCAAAACATTGGTAACCACTACTAGTACACTTTTCACCTGCCTAGACTTATGTAGTCTATTAGTATTAGGTTAAGTCTGCCCGAAGTGCCTCGGCGTGATAGTGGGTTTTTTTTTTGCTCCGATCATATTATATGTAAACACACATTGTAACCTTTGCACAGAAATAAGTACAGTGGAACCTCTACTTACGAGTTTAATCCGTTCCATGATGTTGCTCGCAACTGGATTTGCTCGTTTGCAGAGTCAGTTTTCCTCATTTAAATTAATTGAAATGGAATTAATTCGTTCCAGTGGAATTCCAGGCACGAGAAAATACTTTAATAATTTCCCTAATATCATCTATACAGCTTATTTATCTATCAAAATTCATGTAATATGACACAATAAACAATATTAATAACATAGAAACATGATATATACACTAGAATGAATAAAATATATGTCATTAGGTATGTGGCTAGTGGTGGTGACAGCAGCCATTGTTATTGGGGTTTATAGGGCCACCACAGAGGCCATTCCTGCTCCTGACTACATGTGTAGAGAACCTAGGATAACCCAAAAAAGTCAGTGACTTATAAGTGCTACACTCTTAATGCTTCACTTAATTGCTACACTCTTAATGCTACACTTAATTGCTACACTCTTAATGCTACACTTAATTGCTACACTCTCAATGCTACACTTTGCCACTGCTGCTTCATGTTGTCTGCCACTGCTATCTCATGATGTCTGCCACTGCTGCTTCATGTTGTCTGCTACTGCTGCTTCATGTTGTCTGCCACTGCTACCTCATGTTGACTGTCACTGCTGCTTCATGTTGTCTGTCACTGCTGTTTCATGTTGTCTGTCACTGCTGCTTCATGTTGTCTGCCACTGCTACCTCATGTTGTCTGCCACTGTTGCTTCATGTTGTCTGCCAATGCAGCTTCATGTTGTCTGTCACTGCTACTTCATGATGTCTACCACTGATGTCGCCAAAGAATCGAACATTTCTGCTATTTTGAGCTCAATTTCTCAATTTATTTTTGTAGTATATCTTCCATTCTATCACATGAGACCAAATAAAACGAGAATACAACCATAAAAACCATACAAAAATATACCACTAAGGGGAGGTTAATGGCTGAGAAGTGAACTCCATTATTTATGGTCCGATTTTCTTTCATTTTCATCTTTTCACCATACATTGCCCAAGTTTCAATAAGATAGTCCAACAAACAACTGAGATCCAATTCCCTAGATCAAGAGCAAGAGCCCCCTCACCATTGTCAATAAACCTTTCTTGAGGCCCGCTTGCATCTGGAAATTTTGCTCGTGTCTAGAAGCAAAAAATCAACTGAGCAGCTGCTTGTATCTGGAAAAACTCGCACGTGGATGCACTCGTAAGTAGAGATTCCACTGTGTTTTATTTATTTATTTATTTAAGGAACCTCCCTTGAGGGGGAAGTTCACATCCTGAAATTTCCTTTGTACCCAGAAGCAAAAAATCAACCGAATGATGATTTGCATCCTGAAAAATTCATATGGTGGGGCGTTTGTAGGCCAAGGTTCCACTATATAATGACACCAATGTTTGTGCTGTTATTGTGTAGCATACAACAAGTGAATATAAACAAATTATGCCATATATTGGTCTCACAGGCCATAAAAGTTACTTGAAAATGTAAAATGCTAAAATATAAAAGAGAAAAGTAGAAAAAAAATAAATTATTACTGCTTGACCGGCAGTCGGCGATGTTGCCGTAAGCAGATCACTTTCTGTTAACTTCACACCTCCACATCTCAGTAAGTATTGATTGCAAAATTTTTTTGTATGGCCTATAACACTCACGAAAACATTATTATTTCATAAAAATTTTTTTTTTTTTTAATATTTTTCAACCATGAGAATGAATTTAGGATTGGGGGTCTTGACCCTCAAAGGGTTAAAATATTTTCAGCCTTGGCTTATAATGAGTGGCGAATGTATTTATTGTAGAAAGTCGGAATAAATGAAGAATGGGTATAATTGAAAACCGCTGTATTAGCAAAATGCTGTAAAGTGAAGCGGGGCCCTCCTATATAATATATGTAAACATGAAAATTGGAAAGATCTACAATTTAACGTTTATCTTTTACTTATGCACTTGTTTCCAGGGAATTGTAACAGAGGTGCAGGCTGGAACGCGTCTGATGTTAAGTCAACTTCTGGCACAGTTGCGATCTCCCCTAGCATTGCCACAGTGCCTCAAAGTTATAGGTATGTAAATTTGAATTTGACAATAACCGAAATGTAATACACTAGTTGAAAAGTACTGTAAATCTCATGCCCAAGTCCTGAGGTTGATATCATTATAATAATGAAATACAATATCAACAAATTGATGCTACTACAATTATTTTACAAACTTGGAAATAACACATGCATTAAGCTGTTTGTCAGGAAACTGTGGTTTGGTTGAATAACCTATAATATTTTATGATCCTTCTCCATGGGGAAGTGGAAAAGAATTCTTCCTCCGTAAGCCATGCGTGTCGTAATAGGCGACTAAAATGCTAGGAGCAAGAGGCTAGTTACCCCTTCTTCTGTATAAATTACTAAATTTAAATAGAAAGACTTAAGTTTTTCCTTTTAGGTCACTCTTCCTCAGTGGGATACGACCGGTGTATTATAAAAAAAATTATAATCTTCCATGACCAGTATGAATTTTATTTATTTTAGAAAAGGATTGTAATTATGATTCTATTAATGTTTAACTGTAACAATGCATCTCATTATACACCATGTTTAAAATATTTTAGGTTTGCTGCGGCGCCTGGATGTATTTACTGAACCTGAGTTAAGACTTAAATTCCTTCAGGCAAGAGACTCTTGGTTTAATGGTATCTTAAAGGCTATACCTAAGGAGGATGGTAAGTACTCTGGAGTTTGCTGCACTTATGTCAATAGACATGTTAAGTGATTTTGAATGTTTTGTTCCTTTATTATCAGTAGAAGTTAATTTTGGTATTACTATGGTTCTATGGTTTTGAGCTCAGGGTTTGCGCCATAGTAACACGTGACAAACTCAGCTCACTCATACAAACAATGAGCAGTTAATTTGGGCCTAGGTATGGGAGAATGGGTCTATGCTGTGAGTGTGCACCATATCAAAAAAATCCTGCCACACGCAGTGCATGATGGGGGAAAAACTGATCATGTATTTGGTTTAAAATAGCAACTTCGTGGTGTATTTTTGGATGGTTTTATGGTTTCTTGGTATCAGTTGATAAAAAGGAAGATATATTACATAAATAGAGATGATTTTGATTGGTTTCAGGACTGGTAGTAGTTTGAAATTGAGTTCAAAGTAGCAGACACAGATTACGTCACTAATCCAATATGCATCCAACTGGTTTTATTTATTTATTTTATTTATTTATTTATGTCTTTGCAAATAGTAGATTGAGATTATGTATTTACAATAATGGGTTGCAGTGCAAAGTGGTTAGTCCAATACACATTCACAAATGTGCTGACATTATTTATAGTTATTTTAATAATGCAGTAGTCTTCATAACAGTAAATCTTTTGTTTTTTGTGTGATTTATAAAAATTCAAAATGGAAAGCAAATGTAACTAATGAACAGATGATATGTTGTTTTAGTGCCAGGAACATCTACATTGTTTATTCTGTACCCTATTTCTAAATTATTCCCCAATAAAAGTAGGCCTTAGACAGGGATGTGTGATGTCACCATGGTCATTCAATATATTCATAAATAAAGTTGTAAGAGAAGTGAATGCTCAAGTGTTGGCAAGAGGTGTAGGGTTAAAAGATAAAGAATCTAACACAAAGTGGGAGTTGTCACAGTTACTCTTTGCTGATGACACTGTGCTTTTGGGAGATTCTGAAGAGAAGTTACAGAGGTTGGTTGATGAGTTTAGTAGGATATGTAAAAGTGAATATAGGAAACAGTAAGGTGATGAGGATAACAAAAAAATTAGGTAATGGAAGATTGGATATCAGATTGGAGGGAGAGAGTATGGAGGAGGTGAATGTGTTCAGATATTTGGGAGTGGAAGTGTCAGCAGATGGGTCTATGAAAGATGAGGTGAATCATAGAATTAATGAGGGGAAAATGGTGAGTGTTGCACTGAGGAGTGTATGGAGACAAAGAACTTTATCCATGAAATAGAAGAGGGAAATGTATGAGAGTATAGTTATACCAACACTCTTGTATGGGTGTGAGGTATGGGTGGTGAATTTTGCAACAAGGAGAAGGCTGGAGGCAGTGGAGATGTCATGTCTGAGGATAAGGTGTGACGTGAATATAATGCAGAGAATTTGTAATTTAGAGATTAGGAGGAGGTGCGGGTTTGCCAAAATTATTATCCAGAGGGCTGAGGAAGAGTTACTGAGATGGTTTGGACATATAGAGAGGAAGGAACAAAACAGAATGAATTCAAGAGTGTATAAATCTGTAGTGGAGGGAAGGCGGGGTAGGGGTCAGCCTAGGAAAGGTCTGAGGGAGGGGGTAAAGGAGGTTTTGTGTGCGAGGGGCTTGGACTTCCAGCAGGTGTGCATGACCATGTTAGATAAGTCCAAGTGGAGACAAGTGGTTTTTGGGACTTGACTTGCTGTTGGAGTGTAAGCAAGGTAACATTTATAAAGGGATTCAGGTAAACCGGCAGACCGGACTTGATTCCTGGAGATGGGATACAGTGCCAGCACTCTGAAGGAGGGGTATTAATGTTGCAGTTTTATAACTGTGGTGTAAGCACTCCTCTGGCAAGACAGTGGTGGAGTGAATGATAATGAGAGTTTTTCTTTTTTGGGCCACCCTGCCTTGGTGGGAAACGGCCGATGTATTAATAAAAAATAATTTTTAAATTGGCAATTTTTAAATTTTGTGTGAAATTGGCCAAATTGCCAATTTCTGATCACTTTATTTGGTACTTGAGATAGTTAAAAGGGCAGTTTCTTGTACTCAGTCAATAGAGTGGAAGACATACATATGAAATAGCTAAGAGTTTGGTTGACTGGAACAATGGAATTAGCCTAAAATAGGACTTAAAGTGGGCAAAATCGCCGATGCATATATATTGACAAGATCACTAGCATTACGAGTGCATAATTCCCTAAGTTTTCCATGAAATTTTGTACTTTCGGTTTTGTTATCTTCAGAAAAAGTTTCTTTATAATTTCCTTCTTTTTTTCAGATTAAGGGTCTGGGCCCTGAAAGGATTATGAATTAGAATGGGTGTTCTTCTTACATAATGGACATAATGATAAAGTTTTAATATTTTTAGTATTTGAAGTATACCTGTTATGAAAATTCATCTAGCCATCCTCATTAAATAGTAGAAAGAGAAATTATCTGATACAGTATGTTACATTACATTATTCAGTAAAATGCATTATAAACTTTTCTGAATTTGCTTGTGTCAGTTTACTGTTGTGTCACCAGGACACTTGATTATATAGCACATGCATTTTTCATTCTTCCAATTAATCACAATTTTTTTGTTAGTCAATATTGTTTGAAACCTGTCAGTAATTTGTGTTCTTATGTTTATTCTGTACTTTCATTTGACAGCTTATCAACACATAATCAAAGTGGTGGAGGCTTCCAGGGTTCACCTTTTTGATATTGTCACACAGTACAGAGCCATCTTTTCTGATGATGATACAAGATTCAGTCTTGGTGATCCTGAGGTTAATGAACAAGCAATCTTCCATGGCTGGATTCTCCATAAGGTTTGTTAATATTTTTTAACAATCTGTATGCATTACAATATTAAAATGGTATAAAATACCGACAGGTTGTTAGGTAAGACACATATGCAACAGTTAGGTATCTTTATTATGAAACGTTTCGCCTACACAGTAGGCTTCTTCAGTCGAGTACAGAAAAGTTGATAGAAGCAGAAGATACTTGAAGACGATGTAATCAGTCCATCACCCTTAAAGTTTTGAGGTGGTCAGTCCCTCAGTCTGGAGAAGAGCATTGTTCCGTAGTATGAAACAATATGGAGATGAAGTGACAGGATGGAGCTTTATATAGCGCCAAGAGGTGAGACGTAGGCCACCTGTCGGTATTTTATACCATTTTAATTTTCAATCTGTCAGACACTGCAACACAAGGGTATCTTGGTACAGACCTGCAATCAACTTCGACAACTTCCACTAGTGAGAGCGGCTGGATTTGAGAGGGACCTGACCTCTCAACATCTGAGTTCTTACCTCTCCTAGTGGCCTACGTCTCACCTCTTGGCGCTATATAAAGCTCCATCCTGTCACTTCATCTCCATATTGTTTCATACTATGGAACAATGCTCTTCTCCAGACTGAGGGACTGACCACCTCAAAACTTTAAGGGTGATGGACTGATTACATCGTCTTCAAGTATCTTCTGCTTCTATCAACTTTTCTGTACTCGACTGAAGAAGCCTACTGTGTAGGCGAAACGTTTCATAATAAAGATACCTAACTGTTGCATATGTGTCTTACCTAACAACATGCATTACAATACAGTGCATTTAATTTTTAATAATAATATTCATACCTGATTTAGTAATCTTCCATAGCTGGATTCTCCATAAGGTTTGTTAATATTTTTTAACTCTCTGTATACATTACAATACAGTGCTTTTAATTTTTAATAATAAAAATCATACCTGGTTTCTTTACATCTTGTATTATTTGTGTATTTAATGTTTTGATGTATTTTTTTTTCAACAAACCGGCCATATCCCACCAAGGAAAGGTGACCTAAAAAGGAAAACAAATTTTTTTCCATTTTAAATTTAGTAATGTATACAGGAGAAAGGGTTACTAGCCCCTTGCTCCTGGCATTTTAGTCACCTTTTACGACATGCATGGCTTACGGAAGAAGAATTCTGTTACACTTCCCCATGTACTACATATTTATTATTTGGCTTGTGAACCTGATTGTCCACACCATTATACAGAATGAGGTGAAAATTATAAATTCTGACAGATTGCTATTTTCGACAGGTTAACCAGTTCATAAAACTAGTGGAGAAGGACCTTCAGCGAGGAGTTGGAGTCAACCTGGAGGCTGTCCTGGCTCAGTGTATGTTCTTTGGTCAGTCATTTAGCCGCATTGGAGCGGATTTTCGAACCCTTCTTATTCCACTATTCCAGGTCAGTTTTTTAATATCTGTTAGTATGATTTTGTGTACTGATGAAGAAATGTGTGTGTATTTTAATGTAATAAATGGTATTGTGAAGGTTTTTCTCATGTACATGGAAATACATTACCATATTTGTATTATTTTTTTTTATTATCACACTGGCCGATTCCCACCAAGGCAGGGTGGCCCGAAAAAGAAAAACTTTCACCATCATTCACTCCATCACTGTCTTGCCAGAAGGGTGCTTTACACTACAGTTTTTAAACTGCAACATTAACACCCCTCCTTCAGAGTGCAGGCACTGTACTTCCCATCTCCAGGACTCAAGTCCGGCCTGCCGGTTTCCCTGAATCCCTTCATAAATGTTACTTTGCTCACACTCCAACAGCACGTCAAGTATTAAAAACCATTTGTCTCCATTCACTCCTATCAAACACGCTCACGCATGCCTGCTGGAAGTCCAAGCCCCTCGCACACAAAACCTCCTTTACCCCCTCCCTCCAACCCTTCCTAGGCCGACCCCTACCCCGCCTTCCTTCCACTACAGACTGATACACTCTTGAAGTCATTCTGTTTCGCTCCATTCTCTCTACATGTCCGAACCACCTCAACAACCCTTCCTCAGCCCTCTGGACAACAGTTTTGGTAATCCCGCACCTCCTCCTAACTTCCAAACTACGAATTCTCTGCATTATATTCACACCACACATTGCCCTCAGACATGACATCTCCACTGCCTCCAGCCTTCTCCTCGCTGCAACATTCATCACCCACGCTTCACACCCATATAAGAGCGTTGGTAAAACTATACTCTCTTTACATTCCCCTCTTTGCCTCCAAGGACAAAGTTCTTTGTCTCCACAGACTCCTAAGTGCACCACTCACTCTTTTTTCCCTCATCAATTCTATGATTCACCTCATCTTTCATAGACCCATCCGCTGACACGTCCACTCCCAAATATCTGAATACGTTCACCTCCTCCATACTCTCCCCCTCCAATCTGATATTCAATCTTTCATCACCTAATCTTTTTGTTATCCTCATAACCTTACTCTTTCCTGTATTCACCTTTAATTTTCGTCTTTTGCACACCCTACCAAATTCATCCACCAATCTCTGCAGCTTCTCTTCAGAATCTCCCAAGAGCACAGTGTCATCAGCAAAGAGCAGCTGTGACAACTCCCACTTTGTGTGTGATTCTTTATCTTTTAACTCCACGCCTCTTGCCAAGACCCTCGCATTTACTTCTCTTACAACCCCATCTATAAATATATTAAACAACCACGGTGACATCACACATCCTTGTCTAAGGCCTACTTTTACTGGGAAAAAATTTCCCTCTTTCCTACATACTCTAACTTGAGCCTCACTATCCTCGTAAAAACTCTTCACTGCTTTCAGTAACCTACCTCCTACACCATACACTTGCAACATCTGCCACATTGCCCCCCTATCCACCCTGTCATACGCCTTTTCCAAATCCATAAATGCCACAAAGACCTCTTTAGCCTTATCTAAATACTGTTCACTTATATGTTTCACTGTAAACACCTGGTCCACACACCCCCTACCTTTCCTAAAGCCTCCTTGTTCATCTGCTATCCTATTCTCCGTCTTACTCTTAATTCTTTCAATTATAACTCTACCATACACTTTACCAGGTACACTCAACAGACTTATCCCCCTATAATTTTTGCACTCTCTTTTATCCCCTTTGCCTTTATACAAAGGAACTATGCATGCTCTCTGCCAATCCCTAGGTACCTTACCCTCTTCCATACATTTATTAAATAATTGCACCAACCACTCCAAAACTATATCCCCACCTGCTTTTAACATTTCTATCTTTATCCCATCAATCCTGGCTGCCTTACCCCCTTTCATTTTACCTACTGCCTCACGAACTTCCCCCACACTCACAACTGGCTCTTCCTCACTCCTACAAGATGTTATTCCTCCTTGCCCTATACACGAAATCACAGCTTCCCTATCTTCATCAACATTTAACAATTCCTCAAAATATTCCCTCCATCTTCCCAATACCTCTAACTCTCCATTTAATAACTCTCCTCTCCTATTTTTAACTGACAAATCCATTTGTTCTCTAGGCTTTCTTAACTTGTTAATCTCACTCCAAAACTTTTTCTTATTTTCAACAAAATTTGTTGATAACATCTCACCCACTCTCTCATTTGCTCTCTTTTTACATTGCTTCACCACTCTCTTAACCTCTCTCTTTTTCTCCATATACTCTTCCCTCCTTGCATCACTTCTACTTTGTAAAAACTTCTCATATGCTAACTTTTTCTCCCTTACTACTCTCTTTACATCATCATTCCACCAATCGCTCCTCTTCCCTCCTGCACCCACTTTCCTGTAACCACAAACTTCTGCTGAACACTCTAACACTACATTTTTAATCCTACCCCATACCTCTTCGACCCCATTGCCTATGCTCTCATTAGCCCATCTATCCTCCAATAGCTGTTTATATCTTACCCTAACTGCCTCCTCTTTTAGTTTATAAACCTTCACCTCTCTCTTCCCTGATGCTTCTATTCTCCTTGTATCCCATCTACCTTTTACTCTCAGTGTAGCTACAACTAGAAAGTGATCTGATATATCTGTGGCCCCTCTATAAACATGTACATCCTGAAGTCTACTCAACAGTCTTTTATCTACCAATACATAATCCAACAAACTACTGTCATTTCGCCCTACATCATATCGTGTATACTTATTTATCCTCTTTTTCTTAAAATATGTATTACCTATAACTAAACCCCTTTCTATACAAAGTTCAATCAAAGGGCTCCCATTATCATTTACACCTGGCACCCCAAACTTACCTACCACACCCTCTCTAAAAGTTTCTCCTACTTTAGCATTCAGGTCCCCTACCACAATTACTCTCTCACTTGGTTCAAAGGCTCCTATACATTCACTTAACATCTCCCAAAATCTCTCTCTCTCCTCTGCATTCCTCTCTTCTCCAGGTGCATACACGCTTATTATGACCCACTTCTCGCATCCAACCTTTACTTTAATCCACATAATTCTTGAATTTACACATTCATATTCTCTTTTCTCCTTCCATAACTGATCATTTAACATTACTGCTACCCCTTCCTTTGCTCTAACTCTCTCAGATACTCCAGATTTAATCCCATTTATTTCCCCCCACTGAAACTCTCCTACCCCCTTCAGCTTTGTTTCGCTTAGAGCCAGGACATCCAACTTCTTTTCATTCATAACATCAGCAATCATCTGTTTCTTGTCATCCGCACTACATCCACGCACATTTAAGCATCCCAGTTTTATAAAGTTTTTCTTCTTCTCTTTTTTAGTAAATGTATACAGGAGAAGGGGTTACTAGCCCATTGCTCCCGGCATTTTAGTCGCCTCATACGACACGCATGGCTTACGGAGGAAAGATTCTTTTCCACTTCCCCATGGACAATAGAAGAAATAAAAAGAACAAGAGCTATTTAGAAAAAGGAGAAAAACCTAGATGTATGTATATATATATATGCATGTGCGTGTCTGTGAAGTGTGACCAAAGTGTAAGTAGGAGAAGCAAGATATCCCTGTTATCTAGCGTGTTTATGAGACAGAAAAAGAAACCATATTTGTATGTCATTATTAAAAATTTTGCAGTATTGAAGACTCCTCAGGTTATCTAGTACCTAGATTCAGTTGTTCAAGTTTTTGGGGCTCAGTAGCTTTGCCACAACCAAATCTCTCTATTTTAGATATTATTTCTTATGAATGATAATGGTGTTTATTTCTTTAAGCCATACAAATAATGTAGTTTAAATGTATTAATGCAATAATAGGCAGTAAAGAAAGCCACTAATTATGCATTGCATTCTGAGCAACTAATCATAGGGCTTACATATTACTTAAGAACTACACATAGTTTATTAAGTAGGACTTCTTGTTAATATTAACCAGATTAGAGTGATATATTATTGGGAGCTGTTAACAATCATAGGTATGTAATAAGATGTATAACCCACACATAGGAGACCAAAATTTATGATGACGTTTCGGTCATTGTGACTAGTTAATGGTCCAAATTGGACCGAAATGTCTTAAGTTTGTCTCGTATGTGTGGGTTATTTGTGTATTGTTCCAGTCATGGTACTGTGCCTCTTTAGTCTGTTTATAATAAGAAACAGTAGTTCGAGGGAGTAAATAATAGGTACGTTGAGAATATAGTCTCTGTACTCAAAATGGTCCAAAATTTGAAACTAATTTTTTTTATGCACACTTAATTTTGTATGATTTATGGTTTCTAGTTTTGCAAGATCTTGAACCCTTTCAGGGTTGGCAGGCCCTCTCCCAACCCTGTTCTCAGGGTCGGTAAATATTCGATAAAAAAAGTTAATTTTTTCTTATGAAAAGATAGTTTTTTTTTTTTCTAAATTTTATAGGCTAAAAAAATTTTTTGCCATCAATACTTACCAAGATATGGAGGCGTGAAGTTGACAGAAATTGAACCGCATACGGCAACATCGCCGACTGCCGGTCACCTGGTAATAGTTTATTTTGCTTTTTTTCTACTTTTTTCTTTTATTTTTTAATATTTTATTTTTTTAAGTAACTTTTATGGCCTCTGAGACCAATATAAAGACTATTTGGTATATATTCACTCATGATATACTACACAATAACAGCACAAACTTTGCTGTCATTGTATTGTTTACAAAACATGTTTACACAAACCAACAATAAAAAATGTTGTTTATTACTATTTTTCTATCATATATATACTCATATAGAGTCACTGGACAGGTTCCTATAGCTACAAGAGGTTCTTAACCCTTTCAGGGTCCGTCCCGTAGATCTACGGCTTTACGTTCAGGGTCCAAACCGTAGATCTACGCCATGAGCTCAGCTCACTCTGATAAACTGTGAATGGTACATTTGGGCCTAGATATGAGAGAATACATCTATGTGGTATGTGTGCACCACATAAAACAGATCCTGCAGCACACTGTGTATAA